AAATGGTAATAGTAATATTAGTGATTTCCATACAAGAACTATTTGGTAATCATTGACAAAACTGTTAGAATTACAATTGGTTGACATTTAGAAAATCTTTCCTTAAAACAGTTCTTCAAGACAAATAAATTTCTCAACTGTTATTAGCCTTTCTACTAATGCTGGGAATTTCCTTCCTAACCTTTTGTTTAAGAGTGTGTGGAAAATCAACATCTTGATTATATCATTATTTTCCTTTCTAGTTACATGTGTTATCCATTTTTGTTGCTGCTGGAAGTTTTCAAGTGATGCAATTTATTTGCTAAAGTTCTTGGTTTCTGATTTTGTAGTGCCAGTCAATAAAACCCAGATGATTAATTCACTTGAAACCATCAAGATGGTTATATATACCTGATAGTTTAGACACTTTTAGATGACATTTCTTAAAAAAATATTGCATTTGAAGCATTATTAACATTAGGAAGGGTAGTTGATAGTAAAATCAGAGCTTCTGCTAACATGTATACCAATTTTAGTATAAGGTTCTTCTTTTTGTTCAATTCCATATGAGGAGATTTCTATTACTGATAATATTGGCATTTCATTTATTGAACCACTGAGTCTAACAAAATGCTACCAACTGATAGTCCACAATAAAATGCTACCAACTGACAGTCCACAATAAAATGCTACCAACTGACAGTCCACAGTAAAATGCTACCAACTGACGGTCCACAGTAAAATGCTACCAACTGATGGCACACAATAAAATCAAACTGAACAAAATAACAGAGAATATGCATAAACAGGAACAGAAGTATAGACAAATGCTAATGGTGAAATTAGCCATTTCCATACAAGAAACATTCGGCATTTTCTGACCAAACAGTTTTATAGTTGGTTGAAATTTTATTTTTCTTTAAAAAGTTTTTCGGAAAATAAGATTTTGCAAGTTTATCTAATATTAATTCTGATAGTAGAATTATTTGGAATGCATTTCAATAATAAAGTCATTTACAATGTATTCTTGTGGTAATGATGCAATTAGCTGTTTCTGTACATTTGGCATTCAATGAGCAAGCAGTTAGCATTACTGTCAAGTAAAATTTATTAAATCTTTTTCATAAAACAGTTTTTCATGAAATTAGCCTGAAGTCCATTTCTAATACTTAGTTTCCTTCTTAACCTTTTGTCTAAGGTAATATGAAAAGTCAACATATTGATTATGTCATAATTTTTCTTTCTAATTTATTTGTTATTGCTGCTAGAAGCCTTCAAGTGATGTGCTTTTTTGTCATTTGGTAAAGGCCTTAGTTTATGATTTAGTAAGGCTAGTCTATAGAGCCTGTTGCAGGAATATCTTCTTTAAGACCTAAAGGTTTCATTTATTTGGAGCCAATGTTAATCATTGATTGGAGAAAAAAGCCATACAATACATTCACTGCTGAAAATCTGTGTAATTGAAGAGTTCACATATTTTATGTTTATATACCAAAGCAAGCATACCGTTAATATATTTGTTATGCACATAATGTACATAAAAGTATTTCCTTCTTCCTGTAAAATTTCTCAACTAACTAAATTAATATCGAAAGGCTTCTTGCTTAAAGAATGTATATAACACAAGTGTATTTCATAAACAAATTAGTTTTTAAGATTCTGTCCGTGAGCAATCTAATATGGATTATGATGACATATGTCTTGTTTTTCTCTTATTATAAAAAGCCTCTGTTTGGTTAGAATAAAAAAGAAAAAAACTCATTAAAACTTCTCAGAAATTATTCTGTTCAGATGAAAGGAAAAAAAAGAAAGAAACTGTCACCTGTATACAAACATTTGCAAAGTTGCATTCTTATATTTACAAAAGACAATACGCTTTAGTTAGACATTATAACTAGACTTGGAAAACAGCATTTATCCAGAGACATGAGAAATGATAGTTTCAATGGAAGAATTCCCAACAGAATGTAGATACAATTTTTCGCCTGACAACTTTTTCAGATGCAACTGATTATATATAATGGTTAAAATGAGATTGAGCTCTGAGAAGAGAAAATTCATCCTTAAGTCCTACATTAGAAAAGAGTTTCAAGCAGATCCACCAACATGGATCACCTTTACTCATATTGGGGACAAGTTTAACACATAAAGAACAAAGTTGGTACAGCCCTCATTCACCAGATTTGCAATATTTAATTTGTTTCTGTCAAGTTTTAACAGATTAGATGAACTGTGTATTTTGCTGCACAAAAGTTTAAAAATGTCATAATAAAAACAAGAGAAATAGCAGAAAATGTCAGTTAAAAAACATATCACTTGTCACTTGCATGAAAACAAATACAACAAATGGTCTTATTTAGTATGGAGTATCCACGCAACACAAGATCATGTCCAGCTCTCAGCTACTGCTGTAGACATCACGCAAGCCCCGACTCAACCTTTATTAGTGCAATGGGAAGGTGCTATTTGGGAAAAGATCTGCCGGCACCAGGTTTCAATTGTGATTCATTCTCAGCTGTAAAGAGTCAGAATTAATGTCACTTAATCTCCAGGCAGACAGAAATATTCCTTGCCACAGACCCAAAAATTACTTTTGCACTGACACAACTAAAATTTCATATAATTAAAGCCTTAAGTCTTTTAATCCATTATTTTGCTTTTACTTGGGGTAAAAAAAATATATATATATAAAACTCTAGATTGCAATACAATCAGCTTAATTCCTAAAGATGAAAATTCTAGACTAGAACTACAATCAAAAACAAAGATCACTTCAAGGAGAATAAATTGGTTATATGGATACTGGTAACTGGTGCCTTTTTGAATCTGGTTCTGGATTGTTGCCATCTACTCACAGCATATATTGAAGGCAAGAGGTTATGAGGGAAACAGCAAATCCAATCATTCCTAATAAAGCATTTAATAAAGGTCATGTTGAACAAACACATTTATAGTTCATTTCACATTAGTCCCAACCCCTCAAGGCTCTATCCTTAGAACTAAACTGTTTCTTATCTTCATCAACAACCTTCTCCATATCATCAATTTCCAACTATGCTGGTGACAAGTATTTACTCTTGTCTTAATAGCAAGTTTGAAATATCCAATAAAGTAAAACTGGCAACTGCTCTCAAAAAGGACTTCCAATCAATGGTTAATTGGGAAAAGGAATGCCTTGCAAATTTTAATGCCTCCAAAACAAAACTACTTTCGCTTAACCCCCACAGCAAACCTTTTCTACCTGCCATGAGCATGGTTGATGCTAACTTCCAGGAGATTAATGCTTTCACACTTTATTGGGCTCACATTTTCTACTGACATGAAGTGAAACGATTATATTGAATTAAAGGCTAGGTCTACTGCTAGGAAAGTTGGTTCACTGTGTCATGCCAGACAATTTTTCTTGTACATCTTGCACATTTATAAATCTACCATTCATCTATGAATTGAATATTACTGCAATATCTGGTCTGGTGCTCCTGCTACATGTCTTGAGATTCTCAACAAAATCCAAAGAGTCTGTAATGTTATTGGCATCGTGACTTCAGTCACTTTCCCACTGTCATGACATGGACTCTCTAGAAATATTTTCATGACAATTGTTCTAATGACCTTTCATTCTTGGTACCTTGACTGCATGAATTTAAGCATACTACTAGATTGGCAACTAGATTTCATCATTTTACTGTTGAAACAACTATATATATATATATATATATATATATATATATATATATATATATATATAATAAACAATTTCTATTCTAATAGTTTCTTATCTCACATTTCTCACCAGTAAAACTCTTTTGGTTTCTTACTTCCTTACCAATTACAATATTCAAAAATTTACTTGCAGTGTCAATCGCCATTTTCTGTCTCCTTGAATTCTGTTCTTTTATTGTCCTTTCTTCTCACTAACATCTCATTCTCTTTTACTCTCAGTAACCCCTAGTGTCTTATTGGCATTGAAGTGAAATGATTAAAAAAAAAATGTTCCAGAAGAGCAACAGTTTCTGACTTCTTGGAATCAACTTTTCCATTGACATGAAGTAGAACGATTATATTGAATTAAAGGCTATGTCTACTGCTTGGAAAGTTGGTTTACTGTTTCTTGTCAGACAATTTTTCTCATCAGAATCCATCTTGCACATTTATAAATATGTCATTCATTTGTGTATGGAATATTGTTGCCATTTCTGATCTACTACTCCTACTATATATATATATATATATATATATATATATCACAAGATTGTTGATAAAATTCAACGAAGGGTCTGTAATGTAATTGATCCTTACCGGTCATTTTAAATTCAGTCACTCTCATCACCATGATGTGGCTTCCCTGTGCCTTTTCTATAAATATTTTCATGGCAATTGTTCTGTCAAGCTTTTCTCTTTGGTGCCTCTACTGCATGGATCCAAGCATGCTACTAGATTGCCAACTAGGTCACAGTTTTATCACTGAACTAACTAAATGCAACCATGTGTCCTATTCTCACACTACTCACTTGTGGAACTCCCTTTACAATTTCTTGCTTCCCTGCCACCTACAACCTTCAAAAATTTAAATGCAATGCCAATCACCATCTCCTGTTTTTTATTGTCTTTTCTTACTAAAGTCTTCTCATTCTCTTTCACTCCTTGTGACCCCTTGAATCCTAATAGCATTATCACCTTGCTTGGGATGAAATGATTTTTTTAAAAAAGTAACCTATCTAATGAGCTTCTGAAAATGGATGACAGAACACAGACTGGGAGGGATAGTAAAATGAAAAATGTTGCTATAAAGGATAGGAAGCTGTCGAGAGCCATAATCGCCCACTTCCTAAAGAGACAAAAAAGAAATTACACTCAAAAGATTAACAGTTATGTAAAGAATAATGTCTAGAATAAAGAAATTGAAAATGCTTTATTTTCATGACTATTCTCAAAACTGTTTAATGACCAATTAAAAAGTTCAATTTTTTTTTTCAAAGATATTAGTGGAAAATTTCAAAGACACAAGACCTTATTAACTTTTAACTACCTGATATGATGAGTGAAGTATTTGCATTTACCTGGGCCATGAGGATGTGTGCATCAGAAAGAGCCTGATCTTGTTCCAGACAATGCTGCAAGGTCATTTGTGCAGATTCAAAATCACCTAAAATAAAAACAAAAAATCTAGAGAATAAATAATTAATAACAGGCTAAATAATACAAACAATATGGCTTGTCTGTTTATTAAAAATATAATATAGGCTATACATATTATATGTTTATAGGCTATACATATTGTCAAAGAGACAACAAACGGAAAAGATATATACAATAAATGAGCATACAGAGAAAACTGTATAAACAGTCACTTTGAAAGCACAAATGATTTCACCTTGAATTTTATACGTAAGAAAATTTCCATTTTCAGACAACAGAAAGAGAATTATTTTTACTTAGCTTAAAAAAGAAAAATTTTAAACCAGGTTCTTAAAAAAGCCAAAATATGAAAGAAATTTGCTATTTCAAATAAAATACCCTGTTAGAACTTTTGTTATTGTGGGCACAATTATGTTTTTAGAAAACTTACTTGCCTGCTGTAGACATATTCAAGGTGCATTCAAAAAGTATTCAACTTTATTTTTTCCTGCCAAAACTAATGGCACATGGGAAAAATCCTTTGGGTGAGAGGTGACGCCACACTGACTGTACTAATAGGCCATGTCAGTGTTATGCCTAGAGTACAGATGTGTACTGCGCACTTGCTGGATTCTCATTTTGCTGCAAGATGACCAAAAGCATCAAATTTTGCCAAAAGCTTAATAATACTCAAGCTCAAACCATTGAAAAGATTCAGCAGTCTTCATCAATGATGCCATGGGAAAAAACTCAGATCAAACAAGGCCACACCTCAGTGGAGAATGAGTCTTGCTCAGACAGGCCATCCACAAGATGAAATGAGGAGCCAATTGCGAATGTTCAGCAAAGAGTCATGGAAGACAGTCCTGTAACAATCCAGAAAATTGCTCACGAAGTAGGAATAAGCCCAGGATCAGTACATTCCATTTTAATGGAGGATTTGTGCATGGTCATTATGCCCACATAATTCAAGCTATCCTGATCAAGAGCAACACACCATTTGTTCAACAGAGACACTCAAAGGGAAGAGATTTGAGTTGTGAGAAGAAATGAGAAAAGTGACAGTGGAGTTCCATAGAATTCCAGAAAAGGCATTTTAGAGGTGTTATCAGCAGTGGCAGAACAGCTGGGAGAAACGTGTGTACTCCCAAGGTGATTATCGTGAAGATGATTAAATAAAGTTTGTGAAATGTACAAAATTGATTTTTCTATTCCCAAAAGTTGGATATTTTTGAATGCATCTTGTATATACATTTTCAAGACAATGTAAAATATCAGTTCCTAGTATTTATGTTATCCAAACCAGTGTAGTAATATAGTGTACAATATGATCTGTTTTGTGGTGTATTTTTCTAACATTTTATGTCCGAGTGTTACTTAGCTTAGTAAAAATAGGAGATTGAAACCCTAATGGAGCACCCATGAGAAATCTGTGTTGGCATCTTTATAGTCATTTATTTTCAGTAAATAGCAATTTCCTATTTGTCCCAAAATGGTCCAGCACAGACAAACAACAATGCAATAGTGAATGTGTTAAGATTAAATGACTGAACACAAACTGCATTTGAAAAACGAAATAAAAAAATAAATCTTCCTTTCAAATTATGAAGAAATGTCACAAAATTGTATATTTGAGTGACAGTCAAATAAGCTGCTAAAAAGCAGTTTCAAGTTTCAATTTTTGTGAAATGTTAATAAATGACACTTTATGAGCAGAAATTCATACAGACAAGAAAACCACAACCAAGAATACATATAAATGCTTCTTTTTTGCTTTTTTTCAAAAAGTTGGAAGGGCTCAGTTTGGTAGATACAATTCATTTTAAACAGCTTCCAAGAATAAGGGATCCAGCTTCCATATCCCAATCCTTGCATTTGTAAATAACAGTACATCTAAACTGCAATATGACTTTGAAATATTTGAAATGGCATCAGAAAGTTGGTACTGAATAGTTTCAGAATAAAAAAAAAAAGAAAAGAAAATACTTTTAAGATACTTTATCGAAATTCAACAGATTCTGCTGCAACTTTTTCTCCAAGTAAAACAAGGAGAGAGAAAAAAAAAAAAAAGAATAGAAGATTATTTTTTCCAATTCTTTTGAAGAGTTTGCTCTCAACGTAAATAAATTAGTAATTTTCTATAAAAAATGGAAATAAATTTGAAGCAAGAAACTTTATGGCAGGAATGTGTTGGAGAGTGAAAAAAAAATGTCAAAGTTTACCAAATATTAAGTCATCAAATGTCATGACACTTATTTATAATAAAAGACAGAAAAGAAAAAACCCAAAGTTGAGATAGCAGTTAACAATAAACATTTTCACTTATAACAGACAAAACTTTCAGAATAAATACTTGTAAAATAACAATTATGGAAATGTAAGATATTTTTTAACTTTTTGTTTTTTTAGCTCAGTACAAGAAAAGCAAATGTCAATGTTCAACTGCAAACAAAAGAAATTCATTTTTTTTCCCTTTATACTATTTTCCCCAAATGAATATTGAGTATCCACACATTTAATCTGATGCAAAGTTAAAGTTAATGTTGTTTCTAAGGTGAGATTGCCTCCTCTATATGTAATGAATGGTTCTATTCATTGTAAATCCAAGGTCAGCATTATAACCAGCAAAAAGTTAAATAAAGATTCAAAGGTTTTTTTCTTCCTCATTTTTATTACAATTTATTCATCTTTCACCCTGGAAAGTTTCTGCTGAAAGTACTGGTTCTCATTCAATCAGTAAAGTTAAATATTGACATGGGCTCTATTTAAATGGGGGACTGCTTGGGAACACTGTGTAATGTAAGCAACCTTCTACAATTCAAAACATGTTTTGTCTTTAAATAACCCACAAAGGGTTGATAAACCATAAAAAACTTTTTTTAAAAATCAGTGACACCCTGGAATGTTTCATGTAACCAGAATGACTTAGTGTGGACCCAGACTCTGAAGAAATTGGTAAACATTGGAAACACTGACTATGAATTTCATTGACCCTAACATAGGAAAATACAAAATCATGATCACCCATCTCAGTTTACTGACTAACTCTTATTTCACATTCTGTTTATGAAATTTTTGCTGAATGTTCATCTCATGAGAATGCATTTATATACTTCAGACCTCTGAGATGAAACTTAAAAATTAAATATTCTTGAGACATCTTGCTATAGCTATGAAAAGATAAGAAAAGTTATTGGAACATTATTTAAAAGACATGGAGACGTTAAGGAAAGACTGCGATTTACATCTTTGACTGTTGAGGAGACAAACACATACTGGATGTCTTTATAAATGAAACCCAAAAATACACAGGTAAGGCAGAAATATCTTGCGAATAAAATCCTTGATTTGAGGAGAGCTTATGAACAAGTTTACACATTCAAGTTTGCACAAAGTCTTTCTTTTAACTTCAGTTTAACCCCATTGATGCTGTTGCGAGTCTTGTTCTTGCCTTTCTTCCTGTGACTCACCAAGTTCAGAAAACAACAAAATCTTAATAATTCAGTTTCCTTCTTAGATTTCCTTCAACCATTTCTTCCACACATTGCAAATGTTGATTTTGTTATGAAAGTCCCTATTCTTGAGCCACCTGTCCAGCTCAAAATACTACGTGCTACAAATGTGGAAAACTATCTAAAGCTAGACAGAAAACAAAATTAATGGAGTTCTCATAAACCCTCGAATTGATATGAATTGTGCTGAGAGTTTTATTGATTTCAAAATAGCAAAATCTAACAGAGAATTTCCCCATGTTATAGCCAAGGGGCAATTGTGAATATCTCACACATCTCTGCAGACAGCTGGACACTTCTTTATCAATCAACAAATAAAATAGACTCTGTACACTTGAGGCCAAAATTTTGTGGCCACACTCTGAGTTCCATAATTACTAAGTTTCATATCTTTTTTGGTTTAATTCCAAAGATAGGATTCTGAATGTATTCAATCCATTAGTGCATGTTGTCCAATTTGTTTTTTAGAGAGGCAGTTACCTAAAATCTTCACCAGCCTTAAGATTCCGATTAGCCAGCAAGCTCAATTAGGTAAATCATAAGTTGAGTTAAATTATAAGTTGAGTTAAAATCATAAGTAAACTTTATGTGTTAATGGATTCATTTCATCATTATTATTATTATTGTTGAATATATATTTAAAAAGAACATTCAAGAAGAGAAAGTGAGCTAATAAATTAGTTTTGAAAAAAGCTCACAACCTTCAATTTTTAGGAGATTCTTCAATAACTAGAACTGATTCCAAACTTTTGGCCTATAGTGTATAATAAAATTAGAATGCTAGTCATGCAAGACCTATACAGTGATGTTACATTAGAACACAAATTCCAGCATTAAAATTCCCTTTGGAGTCCTAAACATGTTCTGTGGCTCATTTGTGGCTTGGCCACCAGTAACATCCAATAATCCTCTCAAACTTTAATAACATAACAACTGAATACAAGTTGGTAGCTATTAAATCAAAAAGATATTCTCCTGATGATAAGCAGTTTATAGAATTAGGATTAATAAAAATGTTAATAAGAAGGATAACTGAACAGAATAAATCTTCATGGATAGAAAGCTCAGATTTTAGCAACATCCTGGGGGGGGGGGAACACAAAAAAAATTGGTTATAGACTACTATTAACAAATTTATTGGATGCGTATCCATAAATTGGCAACATGAGTGGCAAGATTGCCAAGTACTGTATTTATAGAACTGAATTTCAAGAGTGCTTACTGTTAGGTGGTCATTAAACGTGAAGAAAAACCTTACATAACACTCAAAGCTGAAGAATGACTATCATTTTCCTCAAATTCCCTTCAGGTTAACAAAAGGCACAGCCAATTTCCCAAGAAAAATGGATACGATCAGAGCCAATGAAAAGTTGCAAGATCCTTGCATATACATAAACATCAGAGAAGATAGACAAAATTACAAAACAATTTATATCAGCCATCAATAAGTGCAATATTACTCTTAACTATGATAAATGCTGCTTTTGTCTAAAGAAAATTAATTTACTAGGACAGACAGAGTGTAAAAAAATTATAAGTCTAGATCCCATGTTGCTAAAGCCTTTACTAGATTCACTGATAGCTGATAATATGCACACTTTATATCGGAATGTGGGGGTGGTGTAATGGATAGCAACTCAGAATGAGAAAGTGTAGAGCTGAGTTTGAATTCCAGTCAGGTTCATTACATTCACATGCACAAATACTCTTGGGAAAGGTATGAATCCATCACTTCTCCAACCCCTCAGCTATGGATTAAATAGCAGGGTAAGCTGAGATCTCTAGCCATGGTTGGTTGGTTTGTTTTGTTTTACAGTGTATCAACCTCAATGAGTTATTTAATGCCAACAACATTTTTACAATAGATTACTATGAATATAATATATTCTTTGTAAGGTTTGGTTTGTTTTACAGCATATCAACCTCAATGGGCTATTTAATGCCAACAAAATTTTTATTGCTGGTAATATTGTTTCTTTTTCAAAAATGTATTGCTATCAATATTTTTTCCTTCAAAAATCTATTTCTGGTAATTATCTTTTCATTCAAAAATCTATTTTTGAGAATATTTTTTCTTCAAAAATGTATCACTGGTAATATTTTTTCAAAATTGTATAGCTGGTATTTTTTTTTTTCAAAAATATATTGCTGGTAATAATTTTTTTTTTTCAAAAATTTATTGCTGACAATAATTTTTTACAAAGTGTTTCTGGTATTAAAACCTATTTTTACACTTTCATAGTGTTTTAACCCCAGTTTGGAGGTTAATTATTTACCCATAGCTGGGAACCTAACAGGTGCTACCACCCCGAGTCAGGGTGAACCTGGGAACACCAGCAATTAAAAGGTGGTTCCATGCTCCTCAAAACCTCCTGATCAGAGATGTTGCTATTGGACATAGTTTCAATCATCTTACCCAGGACACAGATGTAGTTTATCATTATGCCCAGGACAGAGCCATGGCTAGTAACCAGTCTAGGAAAAGGACAACTCAGAACACAAAACTGTAACAACCAAATCACAGGTTACCCTTTGGCAAATTGTAGTACCCAGAAACCACCTCTGTTAGAGTTACAGAGAAGACATTGGAAACAGGATGTTCAATAAGGTCAATGGAAGAATTTAACAGACCAGATTTGGCATTGAATTATAGTGGTGTTTTGCAAAAGTGTTCATACTGGACAATGGATGGGACCTAATTATTCTGAGTAAGGTGAAACATGCAGCAACACACAGAATAGGGCCTTGTATCTCCTAATATATGACTAACCAAAACCCATATGATGGCACGCATAAACAGCATCAGGAAAAATTGTGTGGATGCTATTGAGGTGTCCTAATGGAAGACCTAGTCTAGTTAGATAGAGCTATGGATATATTTGCACACTATTCCCACTGAATTGCTGCATTTTCAGAAAAACACACCTCTTTTCACAAGTTGATAATCTTCCTTTATCTTCTACAGCTACTAAAGCTGCCATCTTCTATGTGGCATATACCTTCAGGACATTAGGGATCATGGCTCTCCATAATTTCCTGTCCTGTAGCTCTTAATAAATTTTGTCTATTTGTTATCTCTCCTAAAACTTAATCCACCATCCATTTATTCAACCTTGCTAGGTAGGTTATTTGTTTTTTTCCTTTGTCCCTCTTGCCTTTAAACTATTTCTGAGTATCAAATTTTCCAAGCCTTCTTCCCTCATTATGTATCTTAGAAATTTCAACTGTCTCTTCCTGGTGTTAAGTATAAGTGTTCTTTTTATTTACAACATTGAACCCAACCTTTCACAGAGTAGAAACCAATGCTGCTTCTCTAATTAAAATGGTCATGTACCACCTTTTTTTTTTTTTGCCAGAACTCTTCTACAGTCAGAATGAAGACATTTCTTCTTCTATGTGCTGTGTTCTTCAGAAGATAGGTGATCATAGCTCTCTACAATTTCCTGTCCTTTATAGCACATTATACTTTGTCTTTTTACTATCTCACTTCTGCCAACCATTTACACAAGCTCATTAGGAGACTTTCCTCTGTCTCTCTTGCCTTTATGTGCCCTAGAAATGTCAATTGTTTCTTTCAGATGTTAAGTGTCTTTTTTGCTTCCATTTTCTCTAAAGCTTTATCATTGCTCACATCTTCAGTCCATGGAAGCAATCAAAAAAAGAGGCATATGCTATAGGCAGGACATTAAGGAAATGGAGGCACAACTTGATCAGATGACATTATCACCTTGTGACTGAACAAAAACCTGTCTCATTTATATTTAAACCCAAAACCGCTAGCAAAACTAAACATGGGAAAATAGCTAGTTGTACAGAGGAACATTTTGGCTTCTTGTTTAATGTCCTTCACTGTCCTGACAAAGAAAATGAAGTAGTTGATGTGCTATCTATAGTGTGAAGAATAATGTCAAGCTGAGAAAAATGTCCAAGCTCTAATCAAAAAATTGTGTCATACTGGCATCATGCAGATGGTGCCTGTAAATGTATAGCAGAAATCTACCATATTCTATTGACAGTATCAAAAGAACTACTAAAGCTTGCCAATTCTGTATGGGGCTTAAACCATGATTTTATAAACCCAAGCCTGAAACACTGATTTCAGCAAATCAGTCATATGAACAGCTCAACTTGGACTTTAAAAGGTCATCCCATGGAATACCACAAAATAAAATTATGTAGCATAGAATAGGATGAATAGCTCCTTCCTTATATAAAGAACTTTATCATTCATTTTTTTAAAAAAATGATGATTGTAACCTAAGCTCAGCATTATTGTTAGCAAAATTTAAATTAAAATTCCAAAGCTTTCTGTTTCTTTTTCAGTTTCAATCAATAATTTCTTACTTTTATCTATTTAGATGTAATGTTTCCTTCCTTAAAAGTTCATAAAAAAAGGAAAATTAAAAAAAATTAATAAAAGTTGGGATGAGTTATCACTATTTAAATTATTTACAATCGGACTAATGTCTTCATATTTGTTGTTATTATTACAACATTTCAGTCATGCTCTCTGGCCTTCTTCAGAATTCTGCCAATCCAGGGAAGGTTCAGGGAATTTTGAACTAAACCTTTTATTTAACCAGCCCAAATGTTTTGATGCTATGAACAATACATAAATAAAGATAATGATCTGGAAATTATTAAAAAAATAAAATCTTGCTAAATACAATACCACTTCATTTTTAATTGCCTTCTCTTGTTTGTTATGGATACAAATAAATGCAATATGTTCAAAAATAACATAGAAGGCAAAATTTTAAACTATGACAGCTGGGTTGAGACCACCACACCTTTGACAAAGTAGAACCTTATTTTTTTTTTTAAACCATGTCTTTTATTATTTGTTAATTGCCATGACTCCTTTGGAAAGATAGTGGAGGGGGTTTCAAATTACCTTGTCTGTGGTTTTGAATTCAGAAACTGGCTGTTACCCAAAGTTAGAGAGTCCAGTCTACCCAGCTATTTAAACCATAACTGAGTGGTTAAGAAATGGTTTCATGCCTTTCCCAAGGGCAGCTTGCCAACTCTGCTTTTGCTGCTTATAACTGTTACACTACCTGTATGTTCTCTTAGGTTGCAAGAATGTGTATGGTGCTTCAATTCATCAATTGGTGTTGAATCACAAAAACTTAGATAAATCAATGAATGCGCAGGTGATGTAATGGTTAGGGGTTTCAAACAAGAAATTGGTAAGCTTGAATACCTTTGGGAAAGGTATGAACCCATCTCTTCTCCCTCTAGCTATAGGTTAAAAAGTAGAGAAGACTGGACTAACTGTAATTAGCAACCAGTATAAGTGAAGAACAATTCTAAATTCAAAAATTTGGCACTTATTTGAACTCTAAGGTTTGTTCAGTACAGTTGCAGTACAAACCACAAGTTGGTTCTGTGGGTGTTGAACAAATGGAAATGTGCCCGAGCAGATGGACTGTGGTGGTAACTCAACGACTCAACTGATAGTAGCAGATAGGAAAAAGAACCCGCGAGGAGGGTAACCGACAAAAACCCAGTGTCACACATCCAACCTTCTCACGAGCCAAAAGCCCTCTGATCCGAAACAGAAAAAACGCTCCTGCTTTATACAGCCGAGGACCGACCACGATTTGCATGTGAATGATGAGACAACGAGATTTCGCGTTAACTAACCAAAACCGCCCAGCATAAAACATGAGCACCACCATTTCGGTTCCTTTTACCATTGAGCAAACCGGAGTTTGCACATCGCACAGATTCTCAGGCGTTTCCGAGGTAGGCCATTTTCACAATTTCCCTCACATGGACATGCTAGGAAACTCACACTGATTTGTCATGTGCCTTTCAAGTAGAAACAGCTTTAATGAAATGAAAGAATGACACAACAGTAACCAACAGTCCTATATGCCGGATTGTATATCGCCTTTGATGTTCTTTGAAGTTAACATAGTTTTCCTTTCATGCAAATACATGGCATAGCATTTGTTGGCAAACTCTAATATATCTGGAGAGTTTACACATAAGGAAGCCACAATAGTAACACTAGAAGAGAAGGAAATAAAAATATTATTCTGCATTACCTGAGAGAAATTTCACTTTGCCCATTAGATAGATTCCTTCAATGAGGCCAGGAGCTGCTTTGATGAGAGGATCTAAAACCTGTTGGCACTTTCTCAAAATAGGATCCATTGCCTGGCCATGCTGCAAGGGCTGAATTATGACAGGAAAAAATAAAAAAAAAGTAAGAATATTGTTCATTTCTATCAAAATTTCAGGAATGAGGAGTTATTATTTACAGTCAAACGATTGTCCCCATCTTTATTATCAAATTCAAATTATTGTTGAGGCTGTTTACATTTACTTCACAATGTTTTGGGGAAAGGCATGAATCCATTTATCCCTGCATTTTATTCTATTACTAAATACATTTACAAAATATGTTGTCACAGATATATCACTAATGTTAATGTCAAAAAAGTGTGTGAATACAAAGTTAAGCCATTTACTACATGCTAGGAAATAGCAGCAGAATGCTGTTACTCCTTTTCTAACTCTTGACAATCGTAGAAGATATTTTTTACTGATTTCTTTTTTAGTACACATCCTACATTTTATTATTCGAGTATGAAAAATAAAAGTAAAAAAAAAATGTCTTTAAATTCAACAACATTCATTATTTACAGTCAAAATAATGTCCCATTTTTATTATCAAATTATGGCTGAGGCTGTTTACATTCACTTCACAATGTTCTTAGGAAAGGCATGAATCCATTTATCCCTACATTTTATTCTACTACTATATACTTATTTACAGTCAAACTAATATTCTCAATTTTGTTGCCATTATCAAAATGTTTCAGGTGTCTGCCAATGCAGATAATCTTGAGGAAATTTAAAATGGGTCCTTTTATTTATTCTCCAGTGTTAAATTTTGTTCTGTTGTCCATATAAAGGGATATCTCACCTTGTTTTTATTTAGAATGGTTCAGTTATTGCTAGCCCTGTCTTCACTACTTGGCTCAGGGATTGAACTCACAATTGTCTAAACTAGAAGATTAAAGCTTTGGTTTGTGAATTTGGTGGCATAGTAATTTTGAGTACAATCTCTCGGTCAAATAGTACAGAATCAGACAGTGAAAGCATGGCAAGAAACTGTACAGTGTTAAATAAAAACTGGATGCAATATCCCTAAATATGAACAGCAAATCAAGAACAATCTACTCTAGAGATTAAATAAAGGGGGTTATTTTGAAATCCCTTAATGGTTACATGGATCAACAGATACCTGAAGAAAGCAATAGAGAATAACAATCAAAATGTTGTGATAACAACAACAAAGATGAAGATATTAGTCCAACCGTAAATAATGAAGTATTGTTGAATTTAAAAAGATGTTTTTCCTTTCATTTTTTTCATACTCAAATAATGGATTATATGATGAAATATTTAGTATGCATACCAAAACATTTAGTATGCATACCAAAACAGAAATTAAATAACACAAATCTGTACCTTCAAAAATCTTGAATATTATATAACCATATTTCAACTATGTTTAATATCAACTAACTTTAGGGATATACCATAATAATATTTATTATAATATTATATCTAGTAATATACTATAATCTTCTTACTACTATGTTAATATCAACTACCTTTGTGGCTATCCAGACAATTAAGGATTAATTTAGGCAATGCCCTGTGGCAAGAATAATTAATATAGTGCCATTGGTCAAACTCTAATCAAATAAAAATTTGGTAGGAACATGGTCCCCATGGATTTCCCTATGTACAGATAATAGCAAAGTATATAAACTAGTTAAATTCAAAGATTGTTTTTACTGTACATAAAGTCCATTTGTTGACCTACCAGGTTACCATCAGTCCTATGACTAAGTGTGGTGATTATAAACATGTCTATATTTCTGAGATGATGCATTGTAACTATTTACATTGTCCAGCCTATTGTCTTTGTCTTTACTGTCACATTTACACTGTTTAGGCCATTGTATGCTCATGCCTTCTTCAGATGATACTTGTTGGAATTTCGAACCATTCCCTTTATTTAGTCCATGGAGGTAGATTGTTCTAATTCCAAGTACCATGCCTTTAGATATTTCAGTTTTTTTAGCTATTTCACCTTGATAACTCACCAAGTTTTTTTCTCTTCAATGAGGCCATGGATTAAATTCACAACTCTTTGGGTCAATCAACCAACACTTTTATATAAATAGTGTAAATTTGGTCATAAAGTTGATGTGCAACTGAACACCAGATCAGTTTATTCTATATATCTGGATTGAAAGCCAAATAAGTATTCATGTGTAGCATATCTTGGGAACATAGAACAGGCAGAGCTCATTCCTGTCCAGATCAAATCAGAGATAATGTCCTCCAAAAAATATTTTGGAGGTCAATAAACAAAACAATTTTGACATTGATGGCTTTGAAACTAAACTCCTTATTTCTTTTTAAATATTTTCAAAATACTTTTATTATTAAAGATAATTTTATTATATTGACTATATCTTTTTTGCCTAATTTTCCTACTTTGAAATATATTTTACAATGTAGTTATAGTTTAATAAATATTTTGATCACAAAACTATTTTGAAATATATTGATTAGTTTCTTTTTTGTTTTGTTTTTTATCATTCCACGCCAAGCAAGGCAATAAAGACACTAAGACACAATGAGCTACTGAGGATGAAAAACTAGTGTGAAGGAAACAAGAAATGTTACTGAGGAGAAAGGACAATAAAAAGAACAGTATTCAGGTAACAGAAGATGACAATTGATATTGCATTTAAATTTTAAAAGATTGTAGTTGACAGCAAAACAAGAAATTGGGAAAGAGTTCCATAGGCAAAAAGTCCAAGAGAAGAAACTATTACAATAGAATTTACAGTTATATCTAGTAAATTCAATAGTAAACTGATGAGTGCTAGCTGCCAATCAAGTACTATGCTTAAATTCTTGAAGTTCATGTACCAAAAAAGAAAACAATATTTATTTTGTTTTAATACAAAAATGTGGCACAAAACCAAAATGTGGGGGGATAAGGGAAGGCTGGTATCAATCTAAAAACTAAGCTAGGCCTAATTACTGACCCAAAATTACTACAGTATTCCTTACATCAAAGCAACACATTCTTACTTACCATTCTCACTAAAACCACCACAATACATCAAAGCCTCTACATGGTCCTAACTAGTTCCGATATGTACAATTTGCTGGGAGGGGGGAAATAAAATAACATAAAAATGTAACCCCAATGAATATTTACAATGATTACAATTTATATACAAGAAACTAAACAAAATAGTGTTGTAATACCCACCACATGCACACACAATCCTTAAATGTGGCAGAAAAAACAGTTAACTGGACAAAATTTAATGCAGGACAAGGTAATTAAGAACACTCATTTGATCAATCACTCACTCAACCACACACTCATCTAAACACATAAACAAATATGAAATACACATTTGAAAAATGAAAAGCATCCTGCCTCTACCAGAGAACTGACATCTCTCTCACCTAACGGGAGAGAGAGGAGGGAATTAAACTAAAGAAAGTGGGAACAAAAATAAAAGAGACCAATAAGCATACACCAACTAGCTAAGTTAACTTAAGGGAATAAACTAAGAATAAAACAAACTTAGGTTTGCTTTATCCTTAGTTTCCTTACCTTATTTTGGGCAGGGTTACCAATGTTCAACACAGAGTTCACAATATCCTGATGTCTAACCAGTATCAAAATGTCACTCCAAGTCAACTCCCTTTACTCGACACAGACACGCAAGACTCACCCACCTTTTGCTAAATTCTAATAGAGGGAGGTGTCACCCTTCCATCCTAATCTTGACTTTATACTGATGCCTAAAATACAAGATCAGCTGGGATCCTCATAGAATTCCTTCTGTCGCTTCATCCATATCACAACTCTCATAACGTCTAGCAAACAAAAAAGAATACATAGAGCTCAACCTTAGTCAGATACATTGCTACAAACAGAACTGGCCTCAAGGACAAAGCATGTCAACAATGATATTTTCAATAATCTTGAACAATGGGGCTACGACCATGTAGTGGAAGGTGTGACCTAGTGTTACACTGCCTCACTACAGCAAATGCAGTTTAAAGATTTTTCCAAGCCCGACAAACAAAGTCTTTTGCCAAACAGAGGGCCTTTTGTATCACCAGCCAGGTGAATGATGTCTCATCATTAGTGAGGTATTTAAACACAGGTGCCCAAGGACATATTGAGCAATCTTCCCGTTTTGTAAGTCCTTGCCTATCAGATCATCCTGAATGGAAAGTTTTTAGCTTTTTCACATTCATATTATTCACCTGTTTGACATTTAGGAGGAACTTAAGGTCTTTTATTTTCAGTACATGTCTTCTTCTAGTGTTAAAATGGATTTGGATTTTATTTTATTTTCTGATGCAGTTTCTACAGAGTCTGATGTTCTTTTTGATGTTCATTTTTTTTCTTTGGTGAATTGATGGGGTGGGGGTCTATGCATGGGATGGATTGCAAGTTATGGTATGAGTAGATTTTTTGGGAGAGTGATTTGGGAATGGGTGCCCTTGTGAGGGTGGTCAGTTTAGAAGGTGTGGGATTTAATGATGCTGTCATTGGAGGAGGAGCCATGGGCTGTTTTTGACTGATGCAGAAGACAGTGCCAAGGAGGAAGGGCCAACTGTACTGATGGGTGTTTGTTTTTTTTCTTTTATCCTTCAGAAATTCTGAAGTTTTTGAGTTTCTCAAATTTTTCAAAGCTAGGCTCATATTTTAATCACTGCTCTCTGATTTTCTCTGTGTAGATGGCTGGGGCATCACCCTTCAAACTGGTAGAGAGAGTGGGGCTGTTTGTGCTTTACCTGTGGCAGATTCCAGGGACAAAACTCCTGCTGCCTGAAGCTTCCCTTTGGTATTACTAATGACCTGCTATTCCTACTTCTACTTTTCCACAACAGCACAAGCAAAGTTTTTTTTTATGGGGAATGATGTATGCAAAATGGGCCAAAACAAGGGTTTTACCACTCTGGTCATTAGCATGCCCATTACAGGTAAGATGGAAATAACAAACTCAGCCAAAAGGGTGATTTAGGTGAGTGTGGGCCAGAACTATTGAGTATCTGACCAAATTGGACTAGCTAAGCAGCCAAGTTCACCCCTAAGACATGAGGAGGGACCT